TTTCTCAGGTAATGTACTCGAACGCAAAGTTTGTGTTTTAGAACAGTTGAACTCGGCCTATTTCGGGCTTGAGTCTTCAAGGGAGATGAACAATTTTCCCTTTTGAGATGAAGCTCCTTTGATGGACGAGGTTCGTCTGTTGGGCGAGACTCGCTGCTCTGATGAGTCTTGTCTTTTCTGACGAGGCTCGTCCGTCGGACGAAATTCATCTGTTTGATGAGGTTCGTCTTAATGGACGAGATTCGTCTGTCAGACGAAGCTCACATGTCTGGTGAGGCTTGTGCCATTCTTTAGGTGAAGATCGTCTGCTGGCCAAGGTTCACCCTATTTGGCTTGTTTGGACTAACTCCACTATTTTGTCTTTTTTAGTTTTGCATTCTTCTGCTCTAATTCCTCCACATGGCGACATCGGATCAGATAACACTCAGACGAGAATAGAATATCCTCATTATCCTATGCTCGAGAATCTCCTCGTATTCCACGACCAAAGTCAGGAAGAATTTCACATACTCTTTGAGCCTTCAAGTGCCACATTAAGGCGTTTGATCACGGACGCCTCTTTGGAAACAGCTGATCAAAGCCGTATTCCAAAACCTAATTTTCTATTCGGTGATCCTACAGAAGACCCTGATGTGTTGGATTTTAGGGAATATCGATGGTTTAGGACGGTGGGCGAACGACGTTTCTTCACACATCCTATGTCGCGTGACCATTCTCTTACTTTCCTTAAAGCTGCTTCAGTCCACAGGAAAATGGACTGGGATTTGACCCCAGCATAGGATGGGGTCACATGCAGATATTTCTCTAAGAGCGCCACCAGAGTAGATAGTGGTGGTTGTTATATTACTGGTTTAAACCCAGGGCTAGTTCAGAGGGAGCTACCCGCTGGTGAGATGGCCGCAGAAGCAAACACTTTCGGTCGTGCTTTCTTCAAGGCAAAGAGACAATTTCCAACCAAAGACTTTAGAACTCCCGGTTGGTCTTGTTGGAGTGCTACACAGTGGTGGCCCCGGATGACTAAATTCATCTTGCAGGAAAAACCATGACGACCTACAAGAGTACAGTCTTCTTACACCAATTAGGGCGACACAGTTTGGGCTAAAAAACAACGCCCAATAATTTTTTTAGCATGTTAGAGTTGTATAACCCTGACACACGTACATTCTTTACTCTTGATGAAGAGTTGGGGATTCCACTCCATGAGATGGTGGAAGTCTCAGGGTTGCCTTTGGGAGGATACCCCTAAGAAGAATACATCCCCGGGCATAGGGAATTGGTAGATCTAGAGAAAGATCATCCCCAAGTCATCGCCACCTTTTAGGAGTTGATGTGCAATTATCATATTTGTTTGCACACTGAGGGGCGTACTGATAAGAAGGGCGTCATGTCTCTCAGCCATATCACTAGGACGCGTTACCTTTTTCTGAATTTGGATCGGAAGTAAGACTTGGTGGCGTTGTTGAACCCTTGTGTTATGATTGAGTCGGCGAAGCGCTCCTTTGCTCATCCCCCCATTACCTACGTGACACCTTCAGACAAATGCGGTTATGCAGCCGGGGTAGAGTTCGAAAGCTTCTTTCACCAAGCTAAGGAACCAATTTCTCGCAAGGCATTATTGACAAGATATCTCATGTTGTGGCTGAAACACATTATCATCCCTTCCAACAGCTTTGAAACCCTGTCAATGGAAGTAGCGTTCTCAGTCGTCCGTTTGGCGCATGGCCATTCATATGCTCTCCTCCCAGTCATGATCGCTTGCATTCACTGGGGATTGTGGCGGTTGTATGTCTATTTTTGCCGAGGCGTTGAGAATCCTCGGGTGGAGCTTCCTTACGCCTATCTCATAGCGTGGTTTGTGATGCACTGCCCTACCTTCATGAGTGCACCTTCCGCTCATGAAGAAGGTCAGATCACTCCTTTTATCCAACGACTAGAGAACTCTACTTGGAGCAAGCAGTATATGGCGATAATGAGGAACGTGCTCAGAGACCATAGCAATTTTGACTTCTTTCGGTGTTTTTCTCATTGTCATAGGACTAGCTACGGCCAAACTGTAGCGGATGAGTCGAACAGCCAGGCCTATACTGCTTTATCAATTGGTTGCTTCAGGTGGCTCGTGAATATACATCTAGGGTACCTAATTTACCGGTTTGGCCCGGTATGTCAATTAGAGCCTTATCTGCCCTGCCGTTTTGCTCATCAATTCGGCTACGAACAGTTGTATGTTGGCAATCCCAACACGCACTTGCAATCTGATAGTGGTGATCTAATCGATGGAGCGAGAGCTTGGTTTTATACAATTGCCGGATGTACATGCGTGAAATTACCCTAGAGAGGGGTGAATAAGGTATTTGCTAATCTAATCCAATTTCGATGCCAATTTAAAACTTCTAAACTAAATATCTTAACAATATGATATGCACAATAATATTCGAGATATTGTAGAAAAGGAAGAAGTTAAAGTGACTTATATCCTTACTACAGATAAGATCGTTGATCTTTTGATAAAAGAATACCAGCGAAATCCTTTACCATACATGTAAGTTTGATGGGACTTATGAATAAATAAGTCCAAGTAAAATTTTATGAATAATGAAATAAGAGTTACTCTTTACGAATAGTGAGAGTAATGGTAAGAAGAAACATATAATCTCATGAATAGTGGGAAGCATATCACTTGGTTTAATTTGGTCAAGTGAGTGATGTTAACTTAGTCCATATTTGACCAAATCACCAAATTTAGTCTCAACAATTGAGATTTTCGTGCGATTAAGATAGTGAGGTTAATGGATTAAAAGAATATGGAGAATATATAGGGCAGTTCATAAGGGGGTGGAGTTGAAAAATAGTCTCTATATAAAGAGTGAAAATTGCTCTTTGAAAACACACAGAAAGAAAACAACTCACTAGAGCCCCTTAAATCTTCTTTTTCTTCTTCTCTCAGTTTCTTCATTCTTCATAGTACTGCCAGAAACAAGTGAAGATATATAAATGAAAGTTTTAAAAATTCCAGGGTATATAAGTGCTATAAAAAAACAAGTGACGGTATATAAGAGCAACGTAAGGGACTATAGGGTTGCGCTTAACTATAGGGTAGTTAAGCGCAATATAAGGATTTTCAAACAATCTAATGGATCCAAAAGGGATGGTAATTTATGACCCGACCCGACCTGACCCGTTATAAATGAGTATGTGTTACTTTATATAGATAGGGTCCTAAACGTGTCGATCGAAAAAACCAATTTATTAATCGGATCGTAAACGTGTCAACTCATCGACCAGCTTAACTTTAAACCATTTATCACTTAACCCTTAACATTCAAAATTTACAAAAACACACCCATGAAATATCAATATTTATGAAAACTATAAAATTCATAAATTACATACAACATTATGAAAATTTTATAATTTGCAGAAAACACCCTTAAGAGGTTTGAAAATTAAAAACATCCTTAAAATTTTAAAATTTACCAAAATGCATGAAAATATCAAAACTTATGAAAAATGTATAAATTATAAACAACAAATTGAAAATTTTAAAATTTCCAAAAACACCCTAAAAGTTTAAAAAATTATAAAATACACCCACATAAAGTTAAATTTATGAAATTTGCAAAACACAACCAAGAAATATCAAAACCTGCAAATAGTACAAAATCTAAAACTTATAAATAATCTCCTAAAATTCTAAAATTTGCATAAAACACCTTAATAGTTTCAAAAGTTGCAAAAATGGCCTTAATAAGTCAAATTTTATAAAAACACTTTCGTGAAAAATCAAAATCTATAAATAACTGCACAATCTATAACTATAAATAGCCCCAAGAAAATTTTGAAATTTGTGAGAAACACCCTAATAGTTTCAAAGTTGCAAACAACCTAAATTAAGTTAAATTTTATAAAAATTTGAAATGTATGAACAGTGAAAACTTTATAACTTATAAATTACAAAAACCTCGCTGAAAGTTTTGATTTTTGTAAAAACACCCTAAATGTTTGAAAAATTACAAAATACACGCTCAAAAGTCAAACTTTAATAAAAACATGCCCAGAAAATATCAGCACTTACAAAAAAGTACAAAATGTCATGAAATTTTTTGAAATTTATAAAAAACACCCTAAAAGTTTAGAAATTTGCAAAATGCACCCTCAAAAAATCAAACTATTAGAAAAACATGCATTGGAAACAATAAAATTTATAAATAGTTCAAAATCTATAAGTTGCGTGAAAATATTAAATTTTGCAGAAAAGACCCTAAAAGTATCAAAATAGCAAAATACACCCTCAAAAAAGTCTAATTTCACAGAAACACACCACATAAATATCAAAACTTATAAATAGTATGAAATCTATAACTTACAAACAACAACGTGAAAATTTTGAAATTGCAACAAACACCCTAAAATTTTTAAAATTACAAAATACACCTTAGAAAGTCAAGTTTTACAAGAAATAAACACTGGAAATATGCAAACCTACGAATATTATAAAATATATAACTTATAAAAAGCAATGTGAAAATTTTGGTATTTGCAAAAACACCATAATAAGCTTCAAGAATTAGAAAAACACTCTAAAAATTCAAATTTTAATAAATATCTAAGAAGTCAAAACTTACAAAGGGTATATATTTTATAAATTAGAAAAATTCCGCTGAGAAAATGATAATTGCAGAAAACACACAAAAACTTTTAAAATTTATAAAAAACACTCTTAAAATTTAAATTTTACAAAATACACCCTAAAAATATCTAAACGTTTTTAAGCAGGAACAAAACCTATGAATGAAAAATAGGATCATAAAAACTTCGACCATAGACTCAATGCTAAGTACATAAGAACTGTGAAACAATTAAATAGGTCACTTAGGTGGGTGGGTAGCTCCGTCTAATAAACGTAATGATCTGAATATTTGATGGGTCGGGTCTGCAACCTCTAAGGCCGACCCAAATGAGCCCATAAAGCCCAATCCAAACTGATCCAGTGGCAATTCTGTTAATTTCAAGCCGAAGGATGGGTACATAAAGCGCCCACTAGAAGGTCAAAACCCTAATTCCTCTCCCTCTCGCTCTCCCGCCGCCGCCGCCGATCTCCAGCCGTCGCCATGGTGAGAAATCAAAACCCTAACCCTGACTCTCTCTCCGTTTCTCTTCAATTTCTTTCATTTGTCGTGCTGATCTGGGGTCTGGTTAATCGTTTACTGTTGTCGATTGTAGCCGTTCAAGAGATACGTCGAGATCGGGCGAGTTGCCCTCGTCAACTACGGCAAGGATTATGGCAGGCTCGTCGTAATTGTCGACGTCCTCGATCAGAACAGAGTACGCTCCCTCTCTGATGTTTTGTGTGATCTGTTTTTTTTTTTTTTAGGGTTTAGGATGTAGAGATCTTGATCTGTTAAGTTTTTTGGTAAAATATTATAGTTCCTGTGCAATTTTTACGATCTAACATAAAATCTATTGTTAAAGCGTCAAAGATATACGCTTGTTTAAGGATTTGATCAAATGGATTTGCATTCTGGATCAGAAATCTGTTTATATTGTAGTAGTAGTATATATGTATATATGTTTGCGTGTTTATATTTTAGTAGCGTATTCGCAGTACAGTTACGATCCAACGGAGTAGGAATATAAGCATAGATCGCTTTGGAATGTATCGAACTTGATTAGGACAAGGTGGGTTGGATTATGAGCGTGAAGGTGTGATATTTGTGGTCTGGCTTTATTAGGATGAGATTGGTTTGCCTGTGAGTGTGAAACTTGGTCAGTTGAATGTAGTTGGCTAAGTTGTGAGCTCGAACCTATGCAACCTGTATCCGATTTTGCAGGTACATTGTGAGCTAGTTTATAGCACAAACCTTCGTCGCTTGTTATTTGAATTGATTCAAACAATGTTGGTTGATTGAATGATTCGAATGAGGCCAGTTGATTTGTGATTCGTATGAGCACGAACTTTACAAATTACAATATCATCTGACTAAGATTATGTCAACTGGCTTACGAGTGCAGAGCTTTCCCTTACCATTTAGGACAAAGCCAACCCAGATAGGATGAGTCTGGTTGGCTTATTAGCATAGATCCCCGCCACTTGTATTCCAACTTGACTAGGAGTCTAGGATATATGATCAACTGGCTTATGAAAGAGAGTTCTGTAGTTTGTTATTTGGCTGTAGGAAAATTGTAAGAACATAAAACAGCACTAGAGTGTGTTTCATATCATTTTTAAATAATTTACTTAAAAGTAGTTTGAAAGGTCTTATTCCACGAATGGTTTACATTCTTCAAGAGTATAGGTAGCGTATCCCATTGCAACCGCGTTGACTATTCTGCATGATTTCTCAGTTGTTTTTGAAAATGTTGTATTGCCTCTCTTGGTCGGAGTTCCCCAACATGATGATTCCAGTTAAGAATGATCAACCACAGAATTCTGTAATATGGTATTAGCCTATTAGGTTATTCTTTGTTGTTAGAGAATAAGCTGTCCTCGGAGTTCCCCAACATGATGATTCCAGTTAAGAATGATCAACCACAGAATTCTGTAATATGGTATTAGCCTATTAGGTTGTTCTTTGTTGTTAGAGAATAAGCTGTCCTCGGGTGTTTTCCTCACCTTGTCCAAAAAGTCCAAGCTGGCTCAAAGTTTGTTATTATGTATCAGTAAATGTAAAGTTGAAGCCTTGAAGGTTCAAATATACATCATAAATCATCACTTTCGTTTTATAATGTTGTTGAGCATGGTTTTCCCCCCTTTTCATTGCTGAGCTATAAAGGGATTGCAATCCAAGTGTATGTAGCAATGAAGATCAGGTTAAAACCCTTGTCGGCTAAGCATAGAAAATAAATATGAAAAAGGGGCTGATTGGATTGCACATGGCACAACCTGCTTGGTTGTCTATATCCAAGCCAGTGTACGCCAAGCACGATCGCAAGCTCAGAGGGACCCATTCAAAAATTTTGACTCTTTCTTAAAAGACTTGCTGTCACATTTCATGTTTTCAGACACATGACATGGACACTCTGCATTCTTCCATTGTTAAAGTTTCCTTTCCCTTGTACATTCTTCTCTTGGTCACCCTAAAAAACCATTGAAGTAGCAACTTTTTTCTGCATCTGCAAAACGTTTTTTTCCCCTTTACGACTTAAGAATCAGTTAATGATACAACCTGGAATCTAATATCTCAGCTTTCACGCTATATTTCCAAGCTGTGATGAATCATGTGCTATTGTTGTGTTTACTTAACGAAACTTCTTCAGGCTTTGGTTGATGCCCCAGACATGGTTCGTGGCCAAATGAACTTTAAGAGGCTTACCTTGACCGACATCAAGATTGACATCCCGAGGATCCCTAAGAAGAAGTCCTTAATTGCTGCAATGGAAGCTGCTGGTAAGTACTGTGGACCTGTTCTTTAGAGCGAGCACATTTTAAACCACCTGCTGTTGCTTATGTTACTGAAGAAAGTTACCAAATTGCAGATGTGAAGAACAAGTGGGAAAACAGCTCGTGGGGAAGGAAGTTGATTGTGCAGAAGAGAAGAGCATCCTTGAACGACTTTGACAGGTTCAAGGTCATGTTGGCCAAGATCAAGGTTGGATTATCTAATTCCTTTTTGTTTTTCTGCGCATTATTTTTGTTTGCTATGAAAACATAATGCAATATGTATGCGACTGTTGTTTTTGTAACAGAGGGGAGCTGCTGTCAGGCAAGAGCTTGGAAAACTCAAGAAGCAGACCGCCGCCTAGAAGACACATCGTTATCTATTGCTGATTTAGTTTGTATTTCGGCTGTGATGCCATTTTGTCCTTGTTTTGTTACTTTTAGGTTTAAAGAGTACTCCTTGAATATGTTTTATGTTTGTCTGCCTTATTGTACGAGTTATTTGAAGTTAGGGTTTGGAGTTGCGAAGCAGGATGATGAATTTGCTTGTTCAATGGGAATTTTGAAATTTTAAAAGCAGGTTTCTAAATATTTGTTTCTTTTGGTTCTTTTTCTTCAACAGATAACGGTCTCGTCATCTTCTTCTATTGTTATATGTTTATTTTCTTTTCTAGGATACCATACTGAATATTGAAGTTTATATTTAAGGGCTGTTCGGTTTGCTGTAAAAATAAAAATTGCAGCAATGTTGCATGCAATATTTATTGCAAAAAATCAACTTCGAATTTCTTGTTTGGATATATGCAATTATGTTGTGAAATATATTTCCAGTGCAAATTTAATCTTTGGTTGAAAAACAATTGCAAAAGCTACAAAGTTTTGTCATATAATATGGCAAAATTTGAAAGCTACAAAATTTTGCTATATAAGAAAATTTGATGTAGTTAGCTTTATCTACTTGGATTAAAAAGTCTTTTTTTATAAAGTGGAAATATATGAGAAAACTTGTTTTAGGTGTTTTTTCTACTTGGATTTAAAAAGTTATAATTTTTTTAAATAAAGTGGAGTTCTATTTAATGCCCCCTTTATTGCATGAATGCCATGAATTTATTTACTTCCATGTCCGGCGCTTAAGAAAATTTGATGTTGTGTTGATAAGCATAGTCATTGGTTTAGTTACTTAAGAACCACTGCTTGAAAGATACGGCTCGATTTTGTTATTTATTTCAGCTTCCAGGTTATTAGGTTAAGAGAATGTATTAAAAAAAGTGAATTGTTGCCATAATGCAAGTTTTAAAAATGACAAATCATGTATGATTTATGACGTATGCTTTAAGTTCTCGACTTTCTAGTAGTACATCAATGAATTTTTAGTAGATGCCTGCCTTTTTTTCTTGACAAAAGAATCATAGAACTTTCATACAAGAAAAGGAAGAAACAAAGCATTACTTTCCTTTTCTTTATACATAATTTATATAATGAAACTAAATCTTTACGTAGGGGAAAAATAAAACGCTAGTTATCAGTACCAAAAATCAAAGGAAAACTCTACACCAGTTGTCAGTAACAAAAGAAATAAACAATCCTGAAGGATGTCTTAGCAAAACAAATGATAGTACAAAAAGTTTCATCGCACACCTTTCCCCTTTTCAGTTGGAAAAATGATACGCAGCATGCCTTTTGCATCTTTCATAAATTTAAGGGCAGATCGATCACCTGCACTAACAACAGTATTAAGCTACGGATCATTTGCGGTACGCACGAAGTGATACTTCATATTTGTGACCGAGCCACTTCCATCGCTTGTGGAAGCATAATATACTTGCATTCATACTGTATATTACCATCAACAAATAACGCAAACAAAACACCGATTCACCTCGTGAAAACTTCCTATCATGAAATGAATGTTTCATGTTCGGTTTTGAAGTAGAGACATTGAAAATGATCAATCAACGTCGACTATAACACACACCTAGCGTTCCAAACTTCATGACTTCGTTGCGAATAACTCACATGTTACTATGTCCTCCATCGACGCTGATCTTCCTGAGCCTAACACCGGTATAATGCTAAAAATTGGCTCCTTATTCATATCAATTCTCCCCGTTAACTCTCTGAATTCATTGAGTATCTCAGAGAATATGTGAGACAAGACATCTGCAGTAACTGAAAGCTCCCACGCAAAATAAAGCCTCAGGTGCTGCAAATTAGTTTACAAGAAAAAATAGATGAGAATGACGAACATGATGAATAATCATAAAGAAAACAGAGAAATTTACATTATCACAAGAAATTGCTACTAGTTTAATAACACTATAAACAGTGTGAGAGATCATAAAGCTACATGACTATAATCTATTTTATAGTCATATATGTCACATTTGAGGGTCTATAATCTATGTTAGATATAAAACAACATATTAATACATGCAATCAGATCTTCATGCCATTATGAATATCAAAAGTGTAAGGAACTTACAATTATCTCTCTCCATGAAAAGTTCTTCTCGACAAGAATACCATCAAGAAGATAGATACAGAGTTTTGCAATTGATTTCATGTGAATTTCAGAGCCATAGCATTGAAAACTCTCTATGCTCTGATCAGCTTCAAAACAAATGCTTGCAGCTATCTCTTTTGTAATAGAAATCAAAGCAGTACATGCCTTCCCACGGATGGTATATATCTGGCAGCAAAGATCACGAATGTTGGAGTACTCAAAGCCCCAATAATTTGGTATTTCTGTGCAAACTGTTGGTGGGAGAATTAAATTATCTTCATCTTCTCTATTCTCTGGGACATAGAGTACAGGTTTTACTTCAACAAGTGCTCTGCAGAAAGTTAGTGGTCACATATACACAAGTGATTCAATATAAAAATAAAATGGAACAATTGACTTGGTTTCAACAATCAGTCTCAATTTTCTACAGACAACACCCAGTTGAGAGTTGCAATCCAATAATTTAAATAGGGTTAAATGCAGATAGACCCCCTTTGCTATCGCCAAATTGAACTTACTACGCCTGTAGTACTATTGTTGCAGATAGAATTCCTGAAAGAGTTCTATTGTTGCAGATAGATCCCCTG